AAAAAAAAAAAAAAAAAAAAAAAATAATTCATTTCTTTAAAAATAACAGCATAAAGGGCTAAGGACACACAGTTCAGGGACACAGAATTGCCTAGCATGCGTAAGGTCCTGGACTCAATCCCAGCTCCTAGTATGTAGTGAGGCCCTGGATTCAATCTCCAGCACTATAAGTGAAATAATTATACTGTATGAAATAATTATACTGTAATACATAAATATATAACATTGAACTACTTTTTATGGTACACATTCAAAATACTATCAGGGATACATTTTATAAAGGAATTTAAGAGCTATTCTACACAAAGCAAGAAATTAAAATGGATCATACATCTGATCTAAATGTAAGCATTAAACTAAATAAAACTCTTGGGAGTTTCTCTCATAGAAGAAAATATTTACCATTTTGTGTCACAAAAAGATTCCTGGGAGCGCCAAAAGCAATCTTAACAAAAGTAAAAACAGATAAATTGCACTAATACAAACTTTAGTATTTGTTTCAAAATATGCCATCAAGAAAATGAAGACACAAGCTGCAGCGACAGAAACATTCCTAAGTAAAAAAGAAAATGCTCTTATAATTCAGTAACAGAACTAGTGAGTAAACCATTACTAAAACGACAGAATGAGGACTATCACGTCGGCTCAGCAGGTAAGGGCACTTGCTGCCAAGTCCTGATGATCACTGGGGCCCACGTGGTAGAAAGAAGGAACTGACTCGTTATCCTCTGACCTCCAAATGCCAACTGTGGCATGTGCTTCCCCTGCATAAGAAATTTTTGATTGACAGAATGCTTTAAAATAGTATCTAACTGATATTTCATGAAGAAAGTCTAAGCCAAAAATTGGGACCCAAAAGATTACAGATTGGCCAGAAGCAAGGAAAGTTAATAAGGTCCATAGGAGAAATGAGAGAAAATACACAAAGGAACCAAAAACCACAGCAAACTTGATACTTGAGTTCTTTTTTTCCCAATTGTTATTTTTCTCCTGATTGTAAATGGAATAAATATGCATTCTCTATAAAAATTTAGAAACATAAAAATATAAAGGTTATTTTTCTAATTCTGTATTATATGCATATGTATATAACCTAAATTTGTAAATACACACTAATACAAGAAATCTCAATTATCAGTGAATGGAAAAACTGGGTTTTGTTTTTAAAATAGGTAAGACATAATAGGGTAATGAATAAACCAATGAGATTTGGATTAACAATGTGGTAAAACCAGGTAACATTAAATCAGAGCCCACAGCAGGCGAAGCTAAGAAAGCATGAGCAACTAGCAAGGCATGTATGTGGCACTCAGGAGGCTTTAGTCAGAGAACGAGACCCTGCTGAGATAACAGCAAATGTACAAAGCATTATGGAAAGTCCACGCAAAAGCCAAGTGCAAAGAGCATTTCCCACATCCTACTCATCAAGCTTCCAGAGGAATATAGAGCAGGTCTCCCGGTCGGTTGTACCTTAACTGTTTGTTTGCCCCCAAAAAATTGTTACATGGAAAGATCCTTCCAGCTTTTGTTTATCTGGAAATTTTCACTTTCTTACTCACTTTTGACATTTGATAGATACAGCATTCTAAGTTTACTTTTTTTTTCTTTTAGTGCTTTGAATACTGACCAACTGCCTTTTGGTCTCCATAGTTTTAAAATTCTGCCTAGTCGACTTCCCTTGTACATAGTAAGTCACCTCTCTTTTTACTTTTAACATTTTATATCTTTGGCTTTCCTAAATTTGCTTATAATCTGTCTTAGAATGTGTTCCTCTTGCATGAAGTTCAATGGCTTCTCAAACACTGGCACTCCTGCTTTTCTTCAAGTCTGAGGGTTTCCAGCAGTGGCTTCTTCAGACATTTCTCCTTTTCCTTTCTTCCTCTTTTCCTTCTGGTAGTTGGACAGTGAGCACACTAGTCCATGCAATGATATCCCACACAGTCTTTCTTCTTTCTGGTCCTCAGATCTGAGACTGTTCCTTGTCCTGTCTCAAGTTTCTGTTCTTTTTGTTTTTTGGGTTTTTTTCCGGTTGCTCAAATTTAAAGGCAGCAGCTGCCTTTAAATTCCCTAGTAAAATTTTCACCTCAGGAATTCATTTCTGTTACAGAAGTTTCTTTCTGCTGTTTTAATTTCAGTTTTGTTCCTGTAGGTCTTTCAGTGTCACTGAGACACTTTGAAAGTCTCTGTCCACTGAGAATATAAAACTGTATTTTTTTTCTCCTTTTAACGTCTACCAAATTTTCTGTTATTCACTCTTATGCCACTGATCATTAAGGTAGATTTTGTTTTTGTTCAGTTCTTTGTTATTCCTTTATCTAAAATGATTTTTCTTTCATTTGCAATTTTTTTCTGAGTTTTAATAATCTTATTTCAGAACTTTTCTAATATTACACTTTCCTTTACATGTTATATTGGTTTCTCATTAACTTTTGGTCACATTTAAACAAAGGTGTGCCTGCCCTCTTCTATGGTGAAGTTTTCTGGAATGCTCTGTGTGTGTGTATGTCTGTGTGTGCGTGCGTGCGTGCGTGCGTGCATGCGTGCATATTCTGTTCCTTATTTTTTCCTTTGCAGTAACTTTAAATGGCATTTCATCTGATACTTTTCTGATTCTCCTTTGTCAAATTATTTCCTATGAGCTTTTAAAAAGAATGCAGTATTTAAGACAGCTTTCTAACCTCACAAAACGCATCCCCCTTGCTTCTGTGATGCTCAGAACTATGGCAGCTCAGTTTCTGAGAACCCCCAGCTGTCCTCTCCCCAGCCTCCCTGAAAACTCTCCTTTCCTCCGCTTCATTTCTCCCTGTCATATCGTCTCTTTCTGTGCAACTGTGAATCAGTTCTCCTACGCAATTTATTTCCATTCAGTGTGGTGCCCTAACTTGAGTAAGAACTCTGACATGACCACATCCAAAGAGTCCGCTGGGGTAAACTGCAAATCCACCTGTCCTTGTGCACACTCTACGCCTGCCAGATGTTTGAGCAAGCAGCCATTCATGCTCTGTATTTCCTGCCAATCGTTTTTAAGGGGTAGGGAGGCGTTCCAGACAGTGTCTCTATGTAGCCCTGGCTGGCCTTGAACTCAAAAATCTATCTGTCAATCTTAACATGTGCCACATCCTACCATCCCTCAGAGTTGAGGTTCTTCTGGAGCTTCCCTACTTTCAAGTACTATGAGATACCATGTCACCTCCCTGCTCACCCCTGCATAGAGAGTGATGTCATGTCACCTCCCTGCTCACCCCTGCATAGACAATGATGTCACGTTACATCTCTGCTGGCCTCAAATTCCAAGATCCAACTGCCTCTGCATCCTGAGTGCGAGGATTAAAGGTGTGCACCCAAAACAGCCAGGACTTTATTTTTAAACAAAGCCTAAGTCTACATGTTCAAAATGTTATGACAACACATGAGAAATATAACTACATGGGAATGAGGAAGTTGAGCATGTTTATGCACATGCGTGCATGCGTGTGTTTAGAGGCCAAAGCTCAATGCTGGATCTTTCCCTCTATCACTCTTTGGTTGTCACAATGAAGCTTTCTTAAATTAAAAAAAAAAAAAAGGCCCAGCAGGCTGGAGACAACTTGGCAGTAAGAGAACTTGCTGAACACTCATATTAAATGGAGTTCAGATCCCAGAACTCATGTAGTAAGAGAGGTGTCCTGCAAAAACACCTGTGACTCTAGTTCTGAGGGATCCAGTCACCCCTGGCCTCCACACCCCCAGGCATGCACACACATATGTGCACACACACTCATGCAGTCATATATGTAAAATTAAATTTTAAAACAAGGCAATCTTACCGATTTGTTCCATCCAGGTTTGATTTATGGATAAAATTAAGTTTTGCATCTGCCCAATAAAGCTTCCGCTCCTCATAATCCAGAGTCAGTCCATTTGGCCAGTAAATTTCAGTGTTGATTATAACCAAGCGACTTGAACCATCCATTCCAGCACGCTCTATCTTTGGCACTTCTCCCCAGTCAGTCCAGTACATGAACCTAAAAATCATTAAAAAGAAACATTAAAGCCATGACATAAATAACCATAAAATATTTGTAATTACTACTATTGCATAAAACTCGCTCAGAAACAACAAACTGAAAATAAACCCTAGAAATCTTTTTATCCACATTTTAGTAATCTGCTACTTGAAACCAATGTACAGATGTGCCCAATACAGACAAGGAACAGCAGGAGTGCAAAACCAGAGGTCAGGGTTTATTTGCAAAAAGAACATTCACACTGTCCCAATGTACATCCCACAGATTACTTAGTAACAAGGAGAAGATGGTAACTACAGAAAAAGAAAGTCTAGATGACAATACCAAAAACAAGCTATGTCAACATCATTAGTAAGAGACAGGACTGACATGATAAACTTCTCACTGTGGGGTACTGAAAACAAGGCACTGTTTGTGTAATTTTATAGACTGTTCCCACTCATTCCACAGAATGCCTAGTCTCACTGTACATAAAAGGGCTCAAATAGAGGGACACTATAAAACTGGCCTCTTGACTACACTGTGTGGTGGTGATATTTTGTTCCCCAAAATATTGTACAACCTAATAAACTTATCTGGGGTCAGAGAACAGAACGGCCACTAGATATAGAGGCCAGAAAATGGTGGCACACACCTTTAATCCTAGCATTCCAAAAGCAAAGATCCATCTGGATCTCTGTGAGTTCAAAGCCACACTGGAAACAGGCAGGCATGGTGACACATGCCTTTAATCCCAGGAAGTGATGGCAGGAAGCAGGAAAGTATATAAGGCGTGAGGATCAGGAACTAGAGCCTGGTTAAGCTTTTAGGCTTTTAGCAACAGTTCAGCTGAGATCCATTTGGATGAGGATTCAGAGGCTTCCAGTCTGAGGAAACAGGATCAGCTGAGGGATTGGTAAGATGAGGTGGCTATGGCTTGTTCTGTTTCTCTGATCATCCAGCGTTCACCCCAATACCTAGCTTCAGGTTTGATTTTATTAATAAAAGCTTTAAGATTCATGCTACAATACTGAAAACATGAAAGTCACAAAAAGGTTAATAAGGGGCCAGCCCAGACTAGAGGGAACCAAGCATGATAACTAAATCTAATGTTCTCATTACAGAAGGAAAAATATTTTTCCTTGATATAAAGGAAAACTGGGCTATGCATCAATTGACAGCACATCTTTTAAGAAAGCTAATGAAGATACTACAAACTATAAATGACGAGGCGTTCAGACTAGGAAGATGTCTCAGTAAGTAAAGACACTTGTGACAAAGTGTAGCAACCTGAGTTCTAGCCCCAGAATCCACACGGTAGAAAGTAAACCCCCATAAACCATCTCTGAACCCCACAGGAGGCCTACAGCATTTGTATACCGCACACACACACACACACACACACACACACACACATGTTTACATTTAGGCAGTCAATAAATATGTGAAAAACCCAAATGGGACTCAAGTATGGAAATGTGACAGGGAACTGCCTGTGCTTGCACCCACTGGCATTGTTGCTCTAGCATATGGTGCCTCATCCAAAGAACCGGTGAGAAGGAAGCGTCAGGAAGCACCTGACTTACATATACCAACTCCAACAAGCTTGGGAAACAGTCATTGTTCCTTACCAGATGTCAAACAAGAAAACTCAGAAAATTCACTTTTGCTCAGGCACACTGCTAGCAAATGGAGAAGAGAAATTCAAACAAAACTCTTTGATTCTAAAGCCGATGCTCAGGCTATAGCCTTGGTGTTTAAGGACTAGAAAGCAAGCAGAGTCTTCCTAAATGAAGGGTGATGATTGGACACCGTCTAGACTAAGGAAGAGAAGGACTAGCTCACACAAGATAAAGTTATACAGGAAGGCAGGCAGGCCATGTTTCCCTTAAGGGTTTTAATTCTAAGAGCAACATGAAGGCACTTGGAGACTTCTACAATGGTTGGCAGTCATTTCATCAGACATACACACAGCTAATTTGGACTTGAAAACAGAAGTAACTGTATTTTTTTCTTTTTTAAGTTTTGGCAAGGATGTGGTAAGGGGGAGATATAAAATGGCGTGGCCACTTTAATAAACCACACAATGCTGGGATTTTTTTTTTTAATATGTTAAACCTGGATTTGTCAGATAACCCAGCAATTTCTCTGCCCAAGAAATAGAAAATACTACATTCATATAGACTCATACATGAACACTTATATCAGTATTACTAGTAATAGGAAAAAGCAGAAATCTTCCAAATCTTTCATTAATAAATGAAATAAAACAATTTACCACCTTCATACAATAGAATAATAAATAGCAATGAAACAAAACTACATACTTGATTCATGGATGAATGTGATAGACTTCAAAAATACTATCATAAAGTGAAAGAAGCCAGAGAAATTACATGTTGTCAGATTCCATTTGAATCAATAGTCCATTAAAAGCAAATACACAGGGTACAGAAAACTAGCAGCTGCCTGAGGGAGAGCAAGAACCTCTGCCAGGTAATGGGAATGCTCTAACCCTCTGAGGCTGTCAGTCAATGGAAACTGGGGAGCTGTGAAAGTGGGGAAGGTGGGGAGGCAGCATTTTATAGAATTTATTCTCCCCGAGAGCAGACCCAATAAGGCCAAGGGGAATAATGCAATTATCCCTGTTCACATACAAGAGTAACAGACCCACTCCTGCACAGACAATGGTAGGTTGCACTTTACGAACTAATTCAAGCCAAAATATTTAAAACGACCTTGTCAAATCTTCTGAAGATTTTAATAATCCTTATTAATGTCACAAGACATAGGAGTCAAAAATATACTGTGAAAACAGAGAAAAGTGGTTGCAATGCTATCTAACTCATCCCAGCAAATATCTATAGTCCATGCAACTCGCAGCAGATGGAAAACAGAAAGTTCATCTTGGGGTGGAGATGACAGCAAGGCATCAGCAGACATCAGGTCTGGGCAGAAAGCCGTGTCCATAGAGAAGGGAAGCATCAGTGCATCCTAGAACAACACAGCTGTTAGGATAGAAGGAGGGAGCTGACCTGGAAGTATGGACAGGCACTGGAGAGACTAGGGAGCTGTCGTTTTCAGTGCCAAGTTGTACAATTTACAGTTACAAATCCTTTAATCATGAAGCACTTACCAGGAAAGACAGTGTGGCACAATGCCTCAGAGAACAGAAGCTCTGCCACTTCCTACAGTGACCTTGAGTAAATTAGTCACCTCTGTCCCTCAAGTTCTTCTTCTACAACATGAAGATTAAAAACAGACTTGCCTCACAAAGCTCAGAGGCCCTCCTTGCACTCTGCTGGTTTCTCACTTCAGGAGCAAAGGGCAGGGTCAACAGGAAGGCAGAAGGGGTCACTGCCAGCCACCACCAGGACAAGCAGCATGTGAAAATGCCGGTAAACCACGAGCCGCATGGCAAGGTATAGATTTATGGAAATGGATTAATTTAAGCTATAAGAACAGTTAGCAAGAAGCCTGCCATGGCCATACAGTTTGTATGCAATATAAGTCTCTGTGTTTACTTGGTTGGGTCTGAGCGGCTGTGGGACTGGCGGGTGACAGAGATTTGTCCTGACTGTGGGCAAGGCAGGAAAACTCTAGCTACAAACGGTGCCCAACGTGTTGGCAAGACTTTCCACCTAAAACCTGAGAAAAGATTCTAAAACGGAGCTAAAAACAGCTTCCTAATTTGTCTCTCTCAAATGAGGGACAGCTGCCGGTTTGAGCTACTTGTGGGTTCCTGGCGTGTGCGCTCCATCTGCAGTATGGTGGGAAAGAGACCTCTGCAAGTGGCACATTAAGCTGTATGGTGGATTTAGCCTTTGCTAGTTCAAAACAAAAATAAAAAAAAAGAGGTTTCTGGGCTACATGCTGCTTGGATAAAAGCATAGACCCACGATAGCTCCCAGAGCTGGCGGTAAACGTACCACCACCATGTTGGGAATCGGAGGTGGGCGGAGCCAGCAGCCATAGCGCTGTTTCAGTCTTACAAATGCTGCAGTTTAAAGCAATAGATTCACAATAAGACAGATTCAGATGTAATAGTTTACAATGTGTGTAAAATATACGTAGGCTTGAAAGAGACAAAAAAAAAAGGTGATACAAAGAGACAATAAAATTAATATAAAAAATAAGCCACATAAAGATGAATATTACACAGAGAATCTGGATTGTATTGTCTTTGGGATTTTTAACTGCAGAAAAACATTTGATCGTAAAAGACGTTGAGTAAAACCAATATATATATTTTAAAGATACCTTGACTTCAAAATTTGGATGTAAGGATATGTTGCTTTAGAAAGGAGAGTCTGCTTTTGTTCCCACAGAAAGCCAGAGGCTATGGATTTGTTCCAGATGAAGATACATCAGGTTTGACCAGTCAAGACCCCCTGAAAGGTCTCCAATGACACCATGGCCCAGATGATCCAACATCCAGAATGGTTTGAAAGCAACTGGCTCAGACAATACAGCCTCATGGACTATTCCATAGTTCTAAAATTTTCTGTGTCCCCATAAGATACAGTGCCCCCCTCCAGCAGGAAGTAGTAAGAGAAGCTATGCCCAAATTCCCAAAATTATAAGTAATTTTACTTTGTTAAGGTATAGATTCCTTTTTGAAAAAAAGGGGGGGGGTGCTGTGGGATGTTCTGTATGGCAAATGTGTTGCTCTGATTGGTTAGTAAATAAAACACTGATTGGCCAGTGGCTAGGCAGGAAGTATAGGCGGGACTAACAGAGAGGAGAAAAGAAAGAACAGGAAGGCAGAAGGGGTCACTGCCAGCCACCACCAGGACAAGCAGCATGTAAAGATGCCGGTAAGCCACGAGCCACGTGGCAAGGTATAGATTTATAGAAATGGGTTAATTTAAGATATTAGAACAGTTAACAAGAAGCCTGCCATGGCCATACAGTTTGTAAGCAATATAAGTCTCTGTGTTTACTTGGTTGGGTCTGAGCGGCTGTGGGACTGGCGGGTGACAGAGATTTGTCCTGACTGTGGGCCAGGCAGGAAAACT